TTTGAAATCACAACGATTCTAAAGAAGTTTTCACTTCAAAACTTTAATATGCGTTATGAACATGCCGATCGTGACCACTCACCTCTTACTAGACGTGGCTTCAGCTTCGAAGCCTCCAGCAGTTTTCAAACTAAGAAAACGATAAACATTATTACTGCTAAGACATTACACAATATCAAGTTTTAGAGAAAATATACCTAGGATTTACCGGTATTGGGAGGCAGCTGTAAAATTAGCATTTTCAATATGGAGGGTATAATATGTAAATCTATATTATTAGCCTAAGAGGCTATTCCAGCTACGCCGTGACTAACACTGGCCCTAAGAATCGGTAGGCAACGGCTTGGCTTTGCCCCGGGCATTGCTGAAGTCCACGGGTAACCACTCACCATCAGGTGGGCCGTACGCTCGACTGCCTACTAGAGCAATAAAAAAACAAGGAAGAGCATTAGTAAATCTACCACTGGATCGTAATCACGATTGGCGAGATAATCAGTGAGTGGAAGCTCTATTTGTGACGTAATAAAGTCGAACGTTTTTTGACACGCAATGTAACACAAACAAGACCAACTGACGGGCAAGTTCGATGACCTCGTGTGACGGAAAGGAACTACCTTCACTTATTTTTGGACTCACGAAACACGAGCATCCCTTGTACAATATCTTATATACTGATGGCTAAGCAACTACATTGCAATTAGTTGTTGCAAAGTTCGAGTGCGTGTGGTCTTTATTTGTAGTTGTAATCGTAAATACACATTTTCGTTAGGTAGTGTGCGTACCCGACGGAGCGTCACATTAGCACACATATAGCCTACATTAAAGCGTATACAGATTGGTCACTCACACAACTAAGGGCGGCTCGCAGTTGCAAAAAACTATACTTAAGCCACTTTCAGGTTACGCTATAATATAAATAGCATAATAATATAACTCATAGCACAACAAAATCGCACACCATATATTGTTATAGCCACGTTCACACTGTACTGTACTATATATTATTATTATTATTATTATTATTGGCTAAGTATACGCTGCTATACTATATGGAACTATAGCGTATAGCGTAGTCTGAAAGCAGCTTTATAGTGATTTCTGAATTTGTACAAACTTACTTCTGCTGTGAGATGATTATGCGTTTTCGTGTGAACTGAAGATTTCCGTGTACCAGTCATTGGCGGTGGTATGGAATACTTTAAGCCCACACGAGCATGTACCACCATCCCGCCTATTTCTACCGCTGAGCAGTCAAGAGTTTGACGAGTGAGGCACAATTGAGAGTACGACCTCATCTCTCAAGGTGGGTGGCGATATCGATATAGACTAGTCCATAAAAATTGTGATGTTTGGACGAGCTCACGACCCGCATGGTGTTGTAGCAACTGGGGTCCATAGGCATCTACAAAGTAAATGCCGCCACCCATCTCGGGACATGAGTGCTGCCCTTCTAAAGCATTACTGCTTCACGGTAAAAACAGGCAGAGTAATGGTATCTACCCGCGCGTCCTATCACCAGTTCTAACGCGATCCGACCAGAGCACACGTTACGAGCGGAACATTTCGAAGGAGGAATACTCACGGAGCTAGATAATGGCAGACGGACTTGTGCCTCTCGGTCCAGTCCCTCGTCTGGCACGTCTGCGAGCAGTAGGGCGTGATCGCGCAACGCGAGCAGTACCAGTCGGCGGGCGCGCCGCACTTCACGCACTGGCGGGAAGCGTTCCGTTCTAGTCCTGGTGTTTTTAGCTGTACCAATTCACGTGTGACGTGTACATTATGATGTGCCTCCACTGATTCATGTGAAGTTTTTTATTAGACACAATAATGCCGCGTCAACTGCAGTCACGTACTGAACACTTGTTAAGAAAAACGCACACACACAAACCTATATCGAGAAGTATTAAAAAAATCTCATAGCAAAAGACAAACATTGGTCAAACCATATTGGGTCATGGAGATAAGGTGTCCATTATTGTTGTTTTAGATATTCCCATAAAACCATGCTTTCTTTTTTATAATTAATGCTCTCGTAACTGTAGATGACACATTACAGGTTTACGTGCCCGTTACGATGTCCTAAGAACAATTTCGACGGGGACTAGTGTGTTTTAAGGGTTAGCCGATATCACTAGAATCAAGCATTTATCACTTGCAGAATATTCCACTTTTAATTAGCAAGCCGACTTTATTATTACGCCGGGTCTTCGCTGGACTGTGGCTTTTTTGGAAGCGAAGTTCGGGATGACACGTTTTCATATCTAATGACGTTTATGTTGAGACGAATTATGGAGGGTAGAGGTAAAAGCACCGTCTTGTTTAAGGGACAAGTTGAAAAAGTGTCCACCTGTAAACAGGACGTTATTGTTGAGAGACTCACCGAAGTAGCGCTAGTGTAGCAATTGGAAATTATATGAATGTAGCAGTTTTAATAGAGCGTAGTGTGCTGGGTTGAAGGGAAATGTGGTAGTTCATGGCGCAGTTTTTAAAGTCCTGCCACTTGCTACAGTGGCGCTACCTTAATTAGACCCTTTTCAGCGGACACTTTTTAACTTACTGAGATGGTTGCTCCTTACTTCTACCCTCCATAAACGAATTATTCGAATAAACAGCATCGACGGTCAAGGTGTGAAACGTTTATTAAAAATCACGAAATGCCTTCGCAAAAAAAAAAAAACATGTCAGATAAAGTTTTCACTGCAGACTTCAACACGAGCAGACTTTCGCGTTCACAATCAATAACTTTATGTCAAATTTAATAACATATATAAGAAATAAAACAGATTTCTCTACCAATATACCAGTTTTTTTTCCCTACCAAATTTTTGGTAGCCTAAGGGGCTATTCCAAATTCTTGCGGGCCGGTAGGTGAGCTCACGGGCTCAATCTGAGAGAACTAACACTAGCCCTAGCAAGAGCAGCGCTTCTCTACCAACGGATCGGAATCGCGACCCACTGAGAAGATCCAGCGACAGCAGAAGCTTGCCACAAAACTACATCTTAATTGCAAGAATTAATGGCAATGCGTGAGATATTAAAAATATATATACATTATATAAAAAGCAAAGAAACAAGAAAAAAAAACAGAAATTAAAAAAAAAACATTTTATTCAATAAGATAATCACTAAAACAAAATATCACGTTTTAAAAAACATTATTAAAAGGAGCAAAATAATATCACACGTCACAACAAATGCATATTGAAAAATAAAATAAAAAACTTAAAATTAACAAAAAGCATGCAGTTTCAATTTCAAACGTAACTATTACATACGATATTACATGATATATTATTAAAGGATATTATACAAATGTCAAAATTATAGGAGGGAAAATGCTGACGTCTTTATATTGCTGACGATTCGAGAAATCTCCCTTCGGTTCGTCTTCACCTATTTTTACGCACGCGATAATACACCTCAACGACAATCACTTAAGGTGTTGTCTTGACAAAGATCCATATTCAGACCAAAACTATGGACCGAAAGTATCGAGATATGCTCGAGATGCCACCAAGCTCGAATTTTGAATGCCACATCAATTAACATCAAAAACATGTACTGTCGAATTACCATCTGCAGAGTCTTGGCTGAACTTGGAATTATTTCGACCCATTTCTTAAAAAAATGGTGAGCGGAGATGAGAAATGCGTCACATATGATAACAGCATTGTTGGTCAAAGAGCGATCAAGTAGTCCAAACGTTGGCCAAACCAAGACTAGCGGCCAGGAATGCATTTGGTGGGTTTATTATGAACTCATTTATTATGAGTTCCATCCATCTGGTCCAATACTAAGCTTTACGTTCAGCAATTGAACCATTTGAAGCCAGCAATTGCCCAAAAACTGCCAGAATGGGCTAACAGGAGAAATGTCCTGCCCTATCAGGACAAAGCAGAGCCACACACTATAGTGATCCGGAAACTATGGAAGTTTAGTTGGGAAGTTCTGATGCATCCACCATTATAAGTCCGAACTGTTTTAATTTGGTGTCGACCAAGCTAATACAATATCTTTCTTGCATTACCAAACTTTCTTGGTGATAAGAAATTGGCATCAAGAGATAGTGAAAATCAATTACTGAAGTTTTTCACAGATACGGACTAAAACTTCTAAGAGATTAATAAAGGCATTAATGAAACTATCCTTAAAATGGCAACAAATTTTATAGAACAAAACGAGCATACCCGAAACAATTATTAAATAAGTCTTGAAGCTTTAGTAAAAATAATGAATTTCTTTTATCCTAACCTTACACATACACATACGCTTGGGTGTTAGCAGAGCAAGTCAATCCGTGCTTATTATAAACAGTTTAGATTATCACACAGTTTTTATCAATAGGTAGAGCGACTAGCGGTATGGCATATTGTTAGCCCACATGAATAGGTACAACCATCCTGCAATTACTCTGCCATGAAGCAGTCATGCGTTCCGCTATAAAGCGCGTGGCAGCCCTAATAAAATATAACCTATATTTCGACCTAATATATCTGAAGGTGGGCGAGTGTAGGGCGTTGATATTGTAAACCCAAAAGACACGAGAGTAATAAAAGACTAATTAATGAAGGACAAAGGACATCTCGCATATCCTACCATTACATCGATTTAATGTACGTAAAAATAAAATCGTTTTATCAAAACTAAGATACTTCAATAACGCAGACAATCATTTTTGTACGAAAAGATCCGGCACAAACCAGCAAAAACATATCTAATACAATATTAGAAAATCTAAGAGTATTTCTAAATACAGAGGTAGGATTCTGAATTGAGAATTCTTATCCACCGGTAAGTCAGCACCACAAAGTTCTTTGAGCTTAGTTCGCCTTAATGGTACTACTATATTAAAACTACCCACACGTAACACTAAATAAAACAAAAACATGCGTCCAACGTCGACGTAACTACAGCATATAGTGAAGTGAAGAAAAATTGTCGCTTCGAACGACAATTAAAAAAAACAGTATTTAATTACCAAACTACCCCCTTCGCGAGGTTTAATAAAAGAAAAAAATCCGCCTACCGCCAACGTAATTATTAAAGGCAGCGCCTTTAATGACATTCATAGATTCGTCATCGACGTGCAATACGAATTTACCTTTATCGTACGAGCCGATGGCGTGCATCTTCCAAACTTCAGGATTCAGACCTGGATTCTTATTCTTCAAAACTTCGAACACCATATTCAGGTCTTCCTCCTCAGGCAATATTTCTATAGGTATCCTCAATAGTATCTTCTGTAGCCCGTTTGTATTCAAATCAGATTCGGGATCTGACACGTGAGGAGATTGGGTCTTGCTTGTCTCTAGTATGTTATCATTAAAATCTGATGCTGGAGTTTCTTTTTCAATCATTACGTCTTCATTAATCGATTCGCAATTATTATTTTCTGGTATGGCTTCGGTCGAGTCGGTTACATCTTTGGCGTTTGTATCGTCTTCGCTTAAAGGCACACCTATAGTTTCCGTTTCCATTACAACAGCTTCATTATCACCAGCCAAAACATCCAATTTATTTTCAATGCTGTTTCTAAGCGACTCTTCTTTATCTAGACGAATTGCAATTACGGTTTGTTCATTGTTTTCTGTTACACTTATATTGTTTTGTTGTTCTTCGAAGTTACGAATTACGCCGGAAGCATCTGTATTTTCTTCACAAATAAGTTCCTGAATACAGTTAAATGTTTCTGTTGCAGGATTGTCAACAGACTTGGAATTTGTTTCCAAATTTATAGAATTATTACTTTGATCGTTATTTTCATTTGTTTTCTCATCAAATATTTCAACTTTCGTTGGTTCATCATTATTCTGTTTTGATACATTGATTATAGCCTGTTCTAGAATGTTATTAATGTTACTAAACAACTTATCATGTTGTAGGCTTGCCTCAGTCCTGGTTACATTAACAATTTCATCATTATTATTAGAAGTATCTGCTGTAAAAATATCATCTGAGCTGTCAGAGTTCGAATTTGGTTCCTTTGTTTGTCGTTTATCTTCACTTTGTTTATCATTATTCTTTTTTGTTACATTCATTATAGCATGTACCAGACTGTTGTTATTTATGTTACAAATAATTCCTTTGTCTTGATGGTCGTCAGTGGGTCTTACACTTTCATTGCCTTTAGACGTGTCTGTTGTAGAATTATCATTTGAACTTTCAGATACCAAAGTGATTTTAGATTCGGCTTCCGTATTAGGAATTTTAAGTCCTTTTTTATTTTTACTTTTCTTCTTATTTTTTTTTGTTTTCGTCTGATTAGTTGTCGCTTCGAGGTTTTCAATATTTGCGTACTCTTCTATTGTAGTCAATTTTTCGAAATTATTATCATAACAAGTCAGTTTCGACTTGTTATCGAGCAAAGGCATTAAATGACCCAATTTAAAGTGAACTTTACACTTCTTGCCGACCACATTTACGAAATCTTTACTAGTTATGATTTGAGCGGAAAACTTGTCGATTTGCAACACTATATTCAGATTGTTTTTCGTCTGCACAGTGCTGATTACACGCCAAAATCTAGTTCGTAGCCTGGGATTTCTTATTTGCAATGCTTCGATCACCCGTTCAGGTGTTTTAGAGGTTTGTAAAGACATACTAATTATACCAACCGCTCCTCTATACTCTGTATGCTTGAGACTTATTCCCAATCTTGAATTAACTGAGGACAGAGAATTTTCTATCCACCGCCTCGAAGCCATGTTCTGGCAAATCACAAATATTACACCGTCGAAAAGATATACATCGTGGAACACTGGTAAATTGGTGATCCCCATGACGCCTTTCTCAATGGATTCCAAAAGAATCTTCTCGAATGTTGTCTTGATCGTATTGAACAACTCCAAGTCGATACGAATCTCGGGATAATTGACCGAACCTATATACAGTTTTAGATCGTCGTCAATGAAATCAGAATAATGATCCGCACGTATTTTTGATAGAGATAAATTCTTTAGTGACGGATTAATTGGATTATAAATTTTATTTAATATTTCTTGGTTTCTTTTCTCCGATTCTGAAGTTTCTTCGGTTTTCACGCAAGCTCTCTCGCATTCCTTTAGATATTTTTGGGTACGGTCGATTATTCTGAATTCTAAAATGTGACCTTCATACGTAGGTTTGAACTCTGGACTTTTTATAATTAATAACGATTCCGGATCCAAGCCGAACTCCCGTCTCTGTTTACCAATAACGCTAGAGTAATACTTCCAGCATTCAATTTTTAAGCCAGAATAAGATTTTTTCAAAGCGTTCAACACTTCTTCCGAAGCCTTATGAGCGATCTCTTTGGGCAACCGAAACACGACTCTAGTGTATCTTACAAGATCTTTTATATCCCTCACGGACAACCTTAAGCCGGTAGCTAATATCAATTTGGGCAGAACCTCTAGCAGATAATCTTTACTCTCTATACAATTGCATATGTAAATCAAAGCACCGTTGGCTAGGTACACATCGTGAAAATGCGGTTGCATCAAACAATCGAATCTCTTCATTTTCGCGTCTTTATGCACAAAGTCTTTGAAGGCCCGTTTCATAAGTTTCATATGGGGAGCTTCTAGTTTGTCTGTCGGGTATCCTTCAAGCGTCACAGCTACTTTCAACTCCGGTTCGACGTGTAGATAATTTGTTCTCCTGTAATAAGGTTTCCCTTTACTGCTGTCCACGTACAGATTCTCTCGGAGATCAGTACCCTCAGACATATATGATAAGGGCGCAGACGTGACATTGCTGCTGTCGGAGATGAAGCCGTCATTCGACGCATCCTCGACGCCGCCAAGGTCTTTCGACCAAACGAAGACTTCACGATCCTCTCCCACGTACTGGACATCCTTTAGTTTATCTAAGACTTTTTGTTGGAAAGAACTCTCTGGGTCTTCGTTCGGATCGTGAAAATTAAACTTGAATTCTTTCTCTTCATTTTCATTAGCCTCGATGACTTTTAATACTTTTTCCACGTCAACAGCTCTATTAATCAAACTGATTTGAGAAGTTTTCGGGGTCGATTCAGCTGATTTGATTTCTGCCAAGAGTTTTACTCTAGACGCGACACTACTGATATCCTCGTCTAAACCGGATAAGGGCTCAAAGTATATTTCTCTTTGACCGATCATGTCGAATTCCATCTGAGAATAATCTATAACATTGTTGAATGAATAGCCTCTGACTATCTCCCCGGATACCCTGTCCATGATAAACGAGGTGACTTCAACACCGTTCATTACTTTCTGGCTGTAAATTTTCCACAAAACAGTTTTCAATTTCGGATTGAAGTATTGCAGCAATTTGAAGACATCTCTCGCTTTCATGGGCCAGCACGTACGAGGTATCTTCATGACAGCCAAATAGACGCGTTTCACGGTCGAATTCAGAAAGACAATCTTTTCCTTCATCCTCTCTTCTAGACCCGGTAAAACGCGTACGATCCAATTTCTAGTCTCCAAATCTTTGCACACCACTACTATAGCACCTCGATTCAAGTAATAATCTACAAAAGACGGCGTCTCCTTAAGCAGACCATTGTGTAGCTGCATCTCTATAATGGTGTTCAGACATCGCTGAAACAATTCCATTTGCCGGAGCCGAATACTGGACTTGGGGTATCCTTCGAAAGCTATTACGACCTTCAAGCGCTTCTCGACCGCGCCCGCGTAATCAGTGCTCCTAAGCTGTATCAGCCCAGTGGTTTCGGAGTCTGAGTCATCCAGATCGCAAATGTCAAAGTGACACCTGTCAAAGTGACATCTGTCAAACTGACTCGACGGATCCGTCAACGGCGCTCTACTGTCGGAAGACCTTATATCGGTTTTATTATGGATCGTAGACTTAGCTTTGTCAGCGCCGGCGCATTTATCGCATGCAGTCGTGGACGCACTGCTTACGGAAGCTCGATCGCATGTCTTCGTCAGGCAGGAGCATAGGGTCTCGCTCTGTACAGAAACGCATTCTCGCCTCAGATTCCTTCCTTTAGATGTATGTGTATTCGCATGCATGAATACCCCGGATAACTTTTATAGATAGATATCGCCTTCTTTAATCGTCTATATATTAATACGTGAAGCAAATAAATACTTTGTAGGTACCCCTTTTTACGAAAATTGCGCGGACCGATGAGTATAGAATTTTTCATACTTATAGTTTATATAGAGAAGGAGTGCAGAAAGCTAATATTTTTTTTAAATTGTACTTAAAATACTTTATATCAATAAAAAAACATCACACACACTACCATGTATTTGAGACACACACACACACACACGCATATATACTATTTTGTTTATTGTTAAAGCCTGTTGTCAAATTGAGAATAGATTAATATTGTTTGGGCAGCAGATAAAAATTAGCGACTTTTACCGTGTAGTTTAGATATTTTGTGAGGCTCACTCACTAGTGAGCACCGTGGCCTGAACGAAAATACTTGTTTTATCATATTATCATATGGCGTTCAACGTATTAGGCTCACAAGAGTTGATAATCACAGTAAAGCAAAGTGCTGGTAACACAGTTGAAGACATCGAGTGGATGAAGGGGTTAAGTACCATATTTAAGTCTTTTTAAAGTGTTACGCGCCTATAAACCATATTAGACCTTAAAACTCCGGGTTTAAAGGCTATTTTTAGAAATTGCATGCGATGAAGGAGTTATATACGAAGAAAAAGTACAATTAACAGAACTTTATTGACAGTTTTCTCAAAATTAACAAATTGTATCATATCCCCTTCATCTACTCATGTCTTCAACTATTAGCTAGAGTCCTATAGACAGACTAGAGGAAGAGGTAGACCTAGAAGAAACGGATGAATTGCGTGAAAGACGATATGTGTAAGAGGAGAGTGAGCGAAGAAATTGTATATGATAGAGGAGTATGGAAGGAGAAAACATGTTGCGCCGACCCCAGATGACTGGGAGAAGGACAGGAGAATGATGATTAAAAAGACTGACTTCCTTATTACTTACAATGTCTGTCCTTCCTTAGTTGCAAAGTACTTGTAAAAAAAAAATTGCTTAGACGTTGATAAGTGGTCACCGGAGCCCATGGACATCAACAACGTAAATTCCGCCACCCTTCTTGAGACATGACGTCGATGTCTCAATTGTATTGTGATATTTATTATCCAGTTAGTTAAAAATGTTTTATTTTTAGAAGAAAGGACATCCAAGTTTGTTTTATTCTTATCTCGAAAATTTATATGGTTACATAAATCGATTTTTGAGAACCAAATAAGTACTTTAGTTTTCCTGAAAGCATTTTTCACTATCCAATGGGGAACATTAACTTAATCACCTCCTTCGATAAATTATGATTCAGAGGTATATAGAAGGTATATAGAAGAAAAAAAATAGGTATATAGAAGAATACATAAGTAAATAATGTAGAATCGTACCACATGTTGATCGATTTTATACTAACCATTTAATCGAAATTATAATCGAAAGAATGAAAATATCAAATCAATCATCAGTTCCTAGTAAACGCTTTCATCAATTTATTTATTTTATAATCAAAAAAATGTCCTTTTTAAAATGAAGTAACATCAAATTCCTATACATAATATTTTGAGATTATTACAAAATATAACGGCCGTCTGGTGTAGTGGTAAGTGACATGTTCACTACACAAGGGGGTTGCGGGTTCGAATCCCGCCAAGGGAAGATATTTGTATGATAAATATAAAATGTCTTTTCCAGGGTTATGGATGTATATTAAATATGTGTATGTGTATAATAAAAATATTACATTTATTTCCGTTATCTGGTACCTGTAACACAAGTTCTGTACGAGCTTACCACGGGACCAGTTAACGTGGCGTGATTGTTAGTAAATATTTATTTATTTATTTATTTATTATATTTAACATGCTACCAACATGCATTTTATTTTCTTTTAAAGAATAAAACAGCTTAGTTATATAAGATGAACGAAATGTTATCGACGAAATTTCATTAAAATCATAATTCTATTATTCTATTCATCTAAATTAAAATATTTATAAGGTGATTTAGTCCGATGTCTATTATAGTTTTATAGTGTAAGTTGATGTATAAAATAATATGTGCGTATTGTGCTTTGCTTTTGTTTTTTTGTAATTTAAATTTCTAAATTTCTCTTCTCTGTTCACTTTCTACTTATATGTGATTTTGATTGTGGAAACATATTTGGTTATTGTTTTAGCATTATTTTTTTTAAATAAATGTTTGTATTGTACTGTTTGTTTCCCAAATAAATAAATAAATTCAGACTATCAGTCATTCTGACATGAAATGACCCGGGTGTTTAATTTATGACCCTTATAATTTCCTTGTTCAATTATAGTAAGTATTCGTTTTGGTTATCAGCGAGACTTTGACAAATTTAACCCTTAGTTCGCGAACCGTCGATAAATCGACTCTCCATTGATGCGTATAAGCGCGGAGCGTCGGAAAACCGACTATTGCGCGCTTCGATTACAGGTCTGAGGTGCGGACCTATGCGGACTTGTGTTAGCGTCGTCGTGGCCTAAAGGATAAGACGTCCGGTGCATTCGTATGTAGCGATGCACCGGTGTTCGAATCCCGCAGGCGGGTACCAATTTTTCTATTGAAATACGTACTTAACAAATATTCACGATTGACTTTCACGGTAAAGGATTAACATAATGTGTAATATAAAAATCAATTATAATTTGCGTAATTACTGGTGCTAGGACCTCTTGTGAGTCCTCACGGTCACGGTCCACCTGATGTTAAGTGGTTACCGCAGTCCATAGACATCGACAACTTAAATGCCGTCACCCACCTTGAGAAATGAGCTGTAACATCTCAGTATAGTTACAACGACTGCCCCACCCTTCAAACCGAAACGCGTTACTGCTTCAGGGCAGAAATAGGCGGGGCGGTGGTACCTTCCCGCGCGGACTCAGAAGACGTCCTACCACCATTAAAGTCTATTAGATATTCCGGCGCCTTAGTGACAGAAAACGACAATTACTTCAGTGCGCCGCGTAGGGCACCGGTGACCTACACAGCAGTAAAGGATTAATACCAAATGAATATTATATACCTGTCGTATGATATCTTCTACTTGTACGAAAACCGTTAAAAAAAAGAAAAAAAAACTTTCACACCTCGACCGGACAGAGTTAAATAAGACAAGTGAAAACAAAACAAAATCTGAAGACTTACCGATTCTGAACCGGCTCCAGCGAATGAAGGTTCAACCTCAGCAGAATCCGTTCTGTGGACAACGAAAAAAAAAAAAATTATTAAACTTGCACTACTACATCATCACTTCATGGTGGTAGGACCTCTTGTGAGTCGGGTGAGTCCGCACGGGTAGGTACCACCGCCCCGCCTATTTCTGCCGTGAAGCAGCAATGCGTTTCGGTTTGAAGGGTGGGGCAGCCGTTGTAACTATACTGAGACCTTAAAACTTATATCTAGAGGTGGGTGGCGCATTTCCGTTGTAGATGTCCATGGGCTCCAGTAACCACTTAGCACCAGGTGAGCTGTGAGATTGTCCACAGATCTATGCAATAAAAAAAACCAAAAAAAAAAACATCATTCTTTGATAATTCATTCATTATCCAGACGGTTCGATTGTGGAATTCTCTGCCGGATGCTATGGGAAGAGCTCCAACTTTAAGCTGCTTTAAAATAAGGGTGAAGGAACACTACTTATCAGCTTAGTGTTGTCTGTTTGTATCATTATTATCATTTATCATTTCCATACTGTTCATTTATTATGTGTATGTAAGTATCTTATATATAAAATTATTGTGTCACAATGTTAGTTAACATACTCCTCTGAAACGGTTTGACCGATTTTTATGAAATGCCTATCCAGTAGGTCTGAGAATCGGCTACTATCGATTTTTCATACCCCTAAGTGATAAGACTTGTCCACCCCTAGCATTTATTTTTTATTTTTTTGGACATTTTTTTTTGTTATTATGAGGCATTATGTGGTTCAATGAGGTTTTGTTATTTTTATATTCCCTCCTCGTTCACAGCGCTACATGCCTCTTTCACTCATTTACCACATCCTTACAATAAGTTAGTTTTTTTTTCTACCTTAGAAATTTCCTAGAAATCTTATATATGACAATACAACTGGGTCAGCTGGTATTAGTATGTAAGTATGTATATTGGTATATAAATCAAAAAAAATTTTCATATTATATGTAAACAGTAATATATCTGTTTATTGTATGCATATATTTTCTATAATAATGTATTGTCAATAGTACACCACAACATTCCTGCTATATTTTTATATTTTACAGAATCTCTCTGAACTAAACGGTTGTCTGGAAGAGATCGCTTTTAGCGATAAGACCGCCTATTGTACAAATGTATCTGCTTTTTGACTGTTATCGAATGTAAATTGTGTTTTGGTGTGCAATGAAGTGTATTCTCTCTCTCTCTCTGTTTCTTTCTTTCTGATATTCTTTCTATCAGCCTACAGACGTTCACTGCTGGACATAGAACTCCTAGAAAAAGATTTTGACATTCTGCAATCCTTCTCTATATAAACTATAAGTGTAGGAAATTTCATACTCCTCCGTTTTTTTTTTTGTTTTTTTTTATTGCCTTTGTAGGCAGACGAGCATACGGCCCACCTGATAGTGAGTGGTTACTTTCGCCCATGGACTTCAGCAATGCCAAGGGCAGAGCCAAGCCGCTGCCTACCGCAAAAGCCGCTGCCTACCGCAATTTCCGTAAAAAGGGGTACAAAGTTTTTGCTCCACGTATTGATGTATAGCTTAAGCACCTCTAGTAAGTAGTATGGTTTAGCGATAAGTTAATACGGCATACGTACTCATTGGCGTTGTTCCTCACGACGATGCGACCGTCGGGCAAGACGGATCTACCGGCAGACGAATGCGGAGCCACCTGCAACAATCCGTAGCCTTACGAGCTGGTGTCGGGCAGAGGAACCCATCAGGGAGGGAGACTCGATCCAATTGCACCAGATGGCTGGTGGTAGGACCTCTTGTGAGTCTGCAGGGGTAGGTACCACCGCCCGGCCTATTTCTGCCCTGAAGCAGTAATGTGTTAGTAATGCGTTTCAGTTTGAAGGGTGGGGCAGCCGTCAAGGTGGGTGGCGCATTTACGTCGTAGATGTCCATGGGCTCAGGTGACCACTTAACACTAGGAGGGCCGTGAACTCATTAGTTCTAAGCTTTTTTTTTCCGTACAATTTTTTTATTGCCCTTATAGGCTGACGAGCATACGGCCCACTGGATGGTAAGTGGTTACCATCGTCCATTGACCTTAGCAATGCCAAGGGCAGAGCCAGGCCGCTGCCTAGCGCTTAACAACAGCGTGATATAGTAATGCTTTTCGAGGTGAAACGCATTACTACATCACGGCACAAATAGGCAGAGCAGTGGTACCTACCCGTGCAGACTCACAAAAGGTCCTACCACCAGTAATTACGCAAATTGTAATTTTGCTGATTTTATATTTATTACACGATGTTATTCCTTCACCGTGGAAGTCAATCGTGAACATTTGTTATGTACGTATTTCATTAGAAAAATTGGTACCCGCCTACAGGATTCAAACACCGGTGGATCGCTCAATACAAATGCACCGTCTTATCCTTTAGGCCACAACGACTCAAACTTAATAACTTTTGACGAAGCATGTTGCTGATAACTTTATTTCTGTAATCTGATGAAGCATGTTGCGGATAATAACATGTACTTTTAGGTTAGGAATATTGTGTTCTTTTTTTTTATAATAAATAAATTAATTTTATAACTTAATAACTATATCTTATTGTTTCACTGATTTCTTTCTAGCAGTTTTAAGTTTTTTTAACACACCTGTCTCTTCTCAGCATGTCGCAGGAGCAATCTGCGCTTACACATGAGCTGCTCCTCTTTGATCTTCAGCTGTTTCAGCGTGAGCATGTCCAGCTCCAAGTCAAGGTTGTCATCGTGATCCTCATGAATCTATAGAAATTATAAAATACATTTTGACTATTGAACATTCATTTATTTCAAAACAAGAGGTTACCAGGAAAATTGGTCCAAAATTTCAAAATTACCACCTTATATCTTTAACGCATACCACCATATTGATAAAATAGCAGATTTTTTATTATATGTCCTTTCCAACTGATTTTAAACCTCTTGACGGTTGACATTGTGCTCAGTAGACCAACAGTCCAGATGTGGTTGTTTGGAATTTATATTGATGCAAGCTTATTTTGAAAACATTGTTAGCGAGATTCGGGTGTCTGTCAATTATCTTGTGAACTATAATGGCTACCACAATACATCATGATACAAAACTAAACTTAAGAAAACTTACTACAATTCATCTATACTAATATTATAAAGAAACTACTGGACCGATTTGAAAAATTCTTTTTCCATTAGAAGCCGACATTGTCCCTGATGAACATAGGCTACTTTTTTTTAATTATTTTTTTTTTGTTTCATGTGTGTTTTAATGTTTCCGAAGCGAAGCGAGGGCGGGTCGCTAGTATTTCATAAAGTTCTGTCATAGGATTACCACAAAGTAAACTTTGACTTTTCAGATAAAACTTCAAAATAGTTGTCAAAATTAACAAATTTATTTAATGTTTTCACACTCTTACTTTTCACTGGTGGTAGGACCTCTTGTGAGTGAGCACAGGTAGGTACCACCGCCCCGCCTATTTCTGCCGTGAAGCAGTAATGCGTTTCGGTTTGAAGGGTGGGGTAGCCGTTGTAACTATACTGAGACCTTAGAACTTATATCTCAATGTAGGTGGCGCGTTTACGCTGTAGATGTCTATGGGCTCCAGTAACCACTTAATACCAGGTGGGCTGTGAGCTCGTCCACCCATGTAAGCAATAAAAAAAAAAACCTTAGCCATCTTAAAAGTGTTTACTCACCATGTCATCAATTTCGTCAATTTCATCATTGTTCATGACATCGTCCAGATTCCTGATAAACAAATGAAATATATGATTATATTAGAATGTTCCACCTGAAATAGTTGCCGCTGTAATGTCTCCATGAAGGTTGGTTGGCTTTGTTCGTGTCAAACATCGATGATTAATTGCAGTCAAACTATGGACTAAAATGATTACCAGAACTCATAGCACCAGCGCAATAGTAGTAGTATGAAGTTTGAATGTAGACAGAGTCGGCTTGACTCAAACCAGTACAGCAGTACTTTCTGTTACTCGTGTGTTCTACTTAGAGTATTGTGGTATTCTATCAATGACTTAAAGACCAATAATATACAATCTGAACATCAGGATATTATTGTTCAGTCGTGAAATGATTATTTCCCAGTTATTACAATTTGACAAAGTACTTTGCGAATGGATGCTGTATTTAGGTAGTTAAACAGTGCACTTGATTTGATTCCTTTTGATATGGGGACCTACTGAGGAACTTGATCACCAAAAATTGCTGTCTCAATCTCGATGTCCAATGAGGTTTAAGCTGCGTTGGTACCAAAAGGTCTCTCCTTACGCCGGAATGTAATAACAATAAAGCGCTGCTAAGTAGTTGGCTGTATGAGCACTTAATACCATTAGCAACTTTACAAATGTATCTATCTGATATAAATTTAGGAATTTTACTACTGTTTGTAGAGCCAAATAAAAAAAAGAAATAAAAAATTTTTTTTATGATAAATGAAGTCTTCGGATGTAAAATATATTTTGTCATTAATATACGAACTCGGTCAAAATTTTCGTATAGCTTACAATAAAATTTATTGTAAAAATAACCTTCAGCATAGGTATTTGGTTTGCTGTATTTTATTGCGAAGAAGCCAAAATGTCTACGAAGTATATTGTTCATGTTTATCAGACGTAATATGATACGAATGTATTTCATACAAAAAACTGTCGACTTACGCATTCGAACACGACACGGAGTTCAAAAACTTATTCATAAGCATTATTGAAAGATTACGTAGAAACGTAAAGTCAAACAAGTTATTTAAATATTAGATTTACGAACTTTTCTATGGAAAGTTTCAAATTACTAAAAATTTCACTTCACCTAACTTCACTATAAGTAATAACGACCATTTTGAATTTGAAAAACTCAACCAGCGATCTGCGAAACTACAGCCAATCAAAGCGTATTATTCGCAGGGGAATGAGAATGGCGGGAAATTAAAATCCAATAACCTTCTAAGTATTTCTGTAGTTTTTTTTTTGTTGCTGGTCCAACTACAAAGGGTTTAGAAATATACAGCCTAAATTTCAGATTTATTCCATTCAACTTTCAGGTTAGGCTCTTTTTATATACTTTACAAAATGGTGGGCTAGAGGGTGTCACCTTACCATTTTCAGACTAATCATTTACTCTTTTATTTAATTTCCATAGCCAAAGGCGTATGTCGGCCGAGAAACATTGGTTTACACCATGGGAAAGCCATTGCACCTATAAATTTAACATTGCAAAGTATGTGGTAGTGCTAAGTATGTAGTAGTGCTTGTATGAGTGCTATTCAATTGGTCAATGAGCTCCAACAACTGCTGAAAAGTTATCGACAGAAATTTTTTTTTTTTTAAATATTCAACAAAATTTCCAATTACGTACATTTCTCTATATCTTAAAAAAAAAAGTCTAATCATACCTCATATTCCATCCCTTGCTGCTTATACTGGATGCTTCATCTCTACTACAATGACCATTTCGTGACGTGCTGTAATTCCTGTCTTTATTATCATGTTGCGTTTTCCGAATCGTCTAAAAAATAAAATATAAGCTTTCTCAGAATCACATCGTTCAGAGATTTACAGATCACATTTGCTTCAACTTTTTTTTAGTATCAGTAACCACTTTAATCCTTCAGGGCATTTTGCGTCATGTCACCTCAGGCTGGCATAATTACGAAACACTTGCTTTCGTTTTGAGAGTGCTAAGAAATGAAGGTCTCGTCCATCTTAGTCCGGATAACCACCACTCAAACTGCCCATACTTGTATGCGCTGGGTCATTGCACTCTTCACGTAGATCTTGGCCCATCGGAAGTTCATTCGATGTGTATCATGATAGGGATAAAGGTGGGCATTCAAGAACTCACAAGCACAAATTGTAACCAGTATGATTTTATTTCTACCACATAATCTGTTTAATATTGCATTTTTAGTGTCATTGCATTAGTCCCAAGTATCCTGCTGTGTGCTAGGAGAACCGGAGACTAATATACACATTATTTGTTTATACACATATAGGTAATAAGCACCCAAAACACTAAACGAGCCTGTTCGTCACACAAATGTCTGCCCGATGTGGGAATCAAACTCACAACCCTCAGCCCAGCAGACAGAGCCGCTAACTATTGCACTATGAAGTTAATTATAACTTATCTGATGTTTCATTAGAAGCTTTAGGCTTCGACTCGTGAATTCCAAAAGAAATACTGAAGTGTTAAAACTTTTGCTATTCAAATACAACAAACTATTTGTTCACCTTATGAGCTATGGATATCTTCAGGTTCAGAGGTTCGGAGCCGTTCATTTTCATCATGGCCAGTTTGGCTTCACTGTAAAAAAAAAACAATCATTGAGGTTAAGCAGGTTATTAAACATGGGTAAAAAGTATCCCACATTTTGCATAGTTTTTATAGTACAGTGACTTATATCGTTGAAAATTTTCAATCATAGTCACATTGTTTATGATGTTATCACACTTAAAATCTCTCCATTCTGTTGACAGTTTTTTGCACTAAATAAGCTATAGAATATATTATTTTCGTGGTGGACGAGCTCACAGCCCACCTGGTTTCAAGTGGTTACTGGAGCCCATAGACATCTACGACGTTAATGCGCCACCCACCTTGAGATATAAGTTCTAAGGTCTCAGTATAGTTACGATTGGTAATAATTTACGCAACATAGTCTGTATTAATCTTTATTTCTGTGATAAGAAGTCTGTGCAACCAGCAGTGGCATAGCTCAGTCATCTGATGAGAGCAGTGGAAAATTCACAGGAAGGGCCCACTATCCAAATCGTATTTAAATTTTAATAAATCACTGATTTAGTTGCTCCTCAAAAATATTACTAATAACGTGTTCATTTTAGTGGAACATCTAATAAATAGAATTTTAAAAAGCTTAAGATACACATAATTTTAGTAAAACTAGGTATTGCAGGCAGTTTTGCCTGTGTGATCAAGGAAATGTTAGTGTATTTTCCCATGGTGGTGAGATGTTTCTTCGGGTTTTGTCGCTCTAGTGGCCTTATACTATAACAATATCGTGTCAATCTGTTGCTTCGTTTCAACATGACGGAAGGATAAACAAGTAAATACATTTTCACATTATTAATATTAAATAATGATATATATATAATAACCAGGTGGACGGACATTGTCAAGGATGCCACAAACACCAGCGTCCCGGGCGCCGCCATTAAGCAAGCCGAATGCAGGAAACACCGGAGGAAGCTGGTGCAAAAACTGGACCAAGGTGGTCACGACTCTCAGTAATGAGGAAACGACAAAGAAGAAGAAAGAAGAAGAAGAAATATAAAATATGAATACATATAAAATATGAATACATATAAAATACTAATATAACAATAATAAATAAAATGCTAATAATGGTTAATAACTTTTACATCTTCAGTTACATCTATGTCAGAATTTTAAAAACCTTACATGAAATTTAATCTATTTACTGTTTATTAATTCTACGTTACTTAGTTCGCAGACCCTTCGGGCCAACCTTTAGTTGAAGGCCCTAGTAACAAGAGTTTTAATTTTTTTGAAAATCGTGAAGTTATGACATTGCTAAACAGCTCCATCTCTGGGTAAAAAGCGTTTCAAGTGGCGCCATCTAGTTGTGGAACTAGAAAGGGTTGGCCGTTTCGGTGCTAAACAGCACCATCTCTGGGTAAATAGTGTTTCAAGTGGCGCCATCTAGTTGTGGAACTAGAAAGGGGTGGCCGTTTCGGTGCTAAACAGCGCCATCTCTGGGTAAATAGCGTTTCAAGTGGCGCCATCTAGCTGTAGAACCAGAGAGATTTTTTCAAGTGGCCCCATCTAGTTGTAGAACTAGGATGGCCGTTTCGTAAAGATTGCTTTAATTAGTTTTATAGCGATCTTTTACTCGTCGGGCAACTTTTTGCGCGCTATGAGCATTCGATGTTGCTTGAGGAGAGTGCCCAGCAGTGGGCAACGGCTCGGCTGTACCCCGAACATAGCACTAGACGCCAATGACTATCCAATATATGAGCAGTACGCACGTCTGCCTACAAAGACATAATAAACTCACCTAGCAGTCTCGAATTGCACTATGGCGAATCTCTTGTTAGGATTTTTGCTCAAGCGGGCGCTTAAAACTTTTCCGTGCTTCAAGAAGGCGGCGCGGATGCCGTCCTCGCTCAGACCTCTCGGTATGTTGATTATGTACAGCTTCGTGTGGTCAAGCTGCACTTGTTCCCTTTTGAGAAAGAAAAAAGTAATTATTATTATTATTCTTTAATTTATGCGGCGTGCGTTCGCGCTAATTACCCCTGAGTGTACACGAGTTAAGAACGTATTTAATGAGAAAAAAAATCCCGCTACCCGCCGGCGGGATTCGAACACGGACACCTTCGCGTCGCTCGATACGAGCACACCGGCCGCTTTATCCATCGGCGTGCGTAGTGCGAGTTTTTTAACGTTCTCGATAGCGTAAAAGTTAACACAATTCTGTATGGAGTCGGAACGTTTGCCACGTTCGCCGCTAGGGGTGCTGTTCCGACTGCATACAAATTTGAGTTAACTTTTACGCTATCGAGAGCGTTAAAAAACTCGCATTAAGCACACAGGCCGCGACGACTACACCCTCTAAAAGCGAAGCTTAAAAGCAAAAGCCGTACAAGAAATTTATACGTACCCGGCATTATCGTCGGCGTATTGCACGTCATACGTGTGTTCGTTAAAATCGTCTCTCATCGGGTCCCACTCCCGGCGCCTCTGAGGCCTACTGTGATTCGACATTATCCTAAAAAACAAAAAATATCACTATTTCAAATGGTATTACATAAAAGAGTCAAACGGGTTCACTACCAACCCGATGCAGTGGAAGCGTCAGCTTTCTAATAAATAAAAAAATCATCAAAATTGATTCACCCAGTCAAAAGTTATGAGTTAACAAACATAAAAAAAAAAACACAGTCGAATTGAGAACCTTTTTTGAAGTCTGTTACAAAAAAAAAATTTTTTATTGTACTTGTAGGCAGACGAGCGTACGGCCCACCTGATGGTGAGTGGTTACCGTCGCCCATGGACTTCAGCAATGCCAGGGGCAGAGCCAAGCCGCTGCCTAAAGTTGCGAACGAAGACTTTACTGATTTATGGTTGTATCCGATCTTGTTTCGTATGTGTTTTTGGTTCCTTTAACACGAACTATCATAGCTTGGAGCAGTTTGTGACATTAATGTAGAATATACAGATACGGCTTTTTTTTTTTAAAAGTCATATCTACCTTTGAACACAATAGCTGTAGAACTACAGAACCAAAAAAGCCCGTATCCCGATTGTTATATACATTTTTTTAAATTTAAATCAAAGCGAGCAATGTATTTCGATAATCAACTTGCTTTGTCATATGTTCGATCTCTTTCGTGAACCCCACCACCGCGTCACTAGTCGAGGCGCAAGTTCAAAGACAGTCAAGTCCTGCTACCACTTACCTCTTTGACCACATATCTAAAGTCGCGATCAACTTCAACGACGAACTAACAGCAATGTAATACAAATACGAACATCAGACTAATACATTCAATTTTAAATCTGCGTAATCACTTGAGCAAAAGCAGCACTATGTCCTGGCTTCAGAAACCAATGAACAGTCGCAGCCGCTATTGAGGACCGAGAGAGAATCTCTACAGCGCAGTTATCTAGTTCAATGAACCGACTAGCGACAGTGGCGCGTCCGGATCGATCGTCAGGACCTACTTACTGCGCATGCGTGGCGTGATCGATTCGCTCTTTAACCCCAGACGGGCGTTAACGAGACGAGGGATGGAGGCGGGAGGGGTCCAGCCTCTAAATGAAATTAAAAGGCTTTTACTCCTGTTGCTTGACAAGACTTGGGGGCGATCCGCAGACCCTAAGCATAGGATTAAGGCTATTTTCACGCAAATATTATTGAACAGAATAAGTTTATTGGTAGTTTCTGTTTGTACATGGCCAAAAATAGGGGCTTAGCATGTTTTCAATATGTAATTTTATATAATGGAAATAATATGGAATGTTGATAAATAGGCAAACATGGATTCCGAATATGGAAGTCATGCGCCATCTTGAAATTATACATATATATATATTTTCTTCTATTCATAAGATGGACGAAGGAAATGATGAAAACCACCGAAACTAATATAGGGTACGCAAGCTTCTCGCCGGATCTTCTCAGCAGGTCGCGATTTCGATCCGATACTAGATTCTGCGAAGCACTGCTTTTTCTAGGGCTAGTGTTAGAAATTCTCTCAAGTCGAGCCCGTGAGCTCACCTACCCGTCTGGGCGTAGCTGGAATGACCCCTTAGAATACCAACGAATAGGTATGTGAAAAAAAAGGTAGGTATTATGAGGAACAGTTTTGCACACCAGAAATCGAACCGGGGCCGGTAATGGCAGAGCGGCAATCGATGCGCACGCGCGACGTGCGCCGTTGACTCGATATAATGGCGAACGATACGATCTCAACGAAATCGATTTTTAATAGCCTACTTGTATTGCGTATTGGTAATCGGTGGGGCACAAAAGCACTGGAGTGGAGACCTCGTACTGGACGTCGTAACGTGGGCAGACAGCCAACGAGGTGGACCAATGACCTGGTCAAAGTGGCTGGTAGGGACTGAATGAGAAACCCGAGAGACCTACACTCAGCATTGGGTGGACACGCCTTGAAAGAGAGACTGCGTATTGGAAGGCCTGTTGGTACCACCACCCCATCTACATCTTCCATTTTCTTTTTTGTTATTGCCCTCGTAGGCAGACGAGCATACGGACCATCTCATGGCGAGTGGTTATCGTCGCCCGTGGACTTTAGCAATGCCAGGGGCAGAGCCAAGCCGCTGCCTATCGTAAAATTTCTATTGATATACATCCCAATTGATGTATATCGTGGATATGCTGTGGAGCTTGTCTACTCATCTAGGGCTAGAAACTGATGATACATACTTATCTGTAAAACTGAAAGAACCACACACATAGTTCTTTCAAAAGTTGACAGAATGCATATTATCAGAAAAAAAACAATTTTTTTTACCTGATTTAATGTGCAGAAATGACAAGACACACGAACGTTCAGAGCATGGTTTCTTAGCTTCCACTTCTTGCAGAGCACTTGGATAGTTCGATACCAAGCGACAAAATGACCGAAAGATTGAACTAGGGAGCGAATGAGAGACTAGGGACATGAAATATTGATTGAATGACTTGAGTAAGGAATGAACGATTGAGTGAATGACGTGAGTAAAAATATAAAGATTGAGCGAATATTGTGAATAATGAATAGATTATTGAGTGAATGGTGAGAATAAGGAATGAACGATTGAGTGTATTATATGAATGAGGAATGAGCTATAGAATGACTGTAGTGAATAAGTAGTGAATGATTAAACGAATTACTTGAATAAGGAATGAACGATTGAGTCAGTAATGTGTATAAGGAATGAACGATTGAGTCAATAATGTGTATAAGGAATGAACGATTGAGTCAATAATGTGTATAAGGAATGAACGACGAAGTGAATGATCTGAACAGGGAATGAACGATGGAGTGAATGACGTGAATAAGGAATGAGCGATTGAGTGAATGATCTAAACGAGGAATGAACGATTGCGTCAATGATGTGAAAAAGGAGTAAACGACTGAGTGAATGAAGTAAATACGGATAGAACGATTGAGCGAATGATGTATACAAGGAATAAAGAACCGAGTGAAAGAAGTGCATAAAGAATAAACGACAAAGTGAATGATATGAATAGGGAATGACCTATTGAGTGAGTGATATGGATAAGGAATGAACATTGAAGTGTATGATAGGAATAATAAATGAAGGATTAAGTGAATGATTGGAATAATATTTGAACGATTGATGAATGGTATTAATAAAAAACCAATGTTTGGGAGAATGGAGAAAAAAAATTATGGATTTAACATCTGCATCCAATGATTTTCTAGAAAACTAAGACCGCCATTTTGATTCTACACTTGCCTGTTGCTTTTTCTAAACTACCACTTGAGCTGTTATGGGACTGTTACAAGTAATTTACAATTACACCTAGTAACTACAATTACTATTTATATTTAACATCACAAACTATTTAAAAAATAAGCTCTTGTATTTGGAATTTAATGTTGAAATTAAATTTAAATTAATTTAAAATGCATGTAGAACCATGCTTGATAAGAGGAAATATTGTGCCGACACCGGGTGACTTAGAATGAAGTAAATAAAATTAAAACAAAGAAAATTATAATTTTCTGCCCTAAAATATATATTTTTTTATTGCCCTTATAGGCAGACGAGCATACGGCCCACCTGATGGTGAGTGGTTACTGTCGCCCATGGACTTCAGCAATGCCAGGGACAGAGCCAAACCACTGCCTACTGCTATCAAATCAATATCAAATACTTTCTTGTGAATGTAATCAAAAAATTCATGAAGTGCAAGTTTTTTTTATTGCTTATATGGATGGACGAGTTTGTAGCCCACCTTGAGATATTAGTTCTAAGGTCTAATTATAACGGCTGTCCCGCCCTTCAAACCGAAACGCATTACTGCTTCACGGCAGAAATAGGCAGGGTGGTGATACCTAACCGTGCGGACTCACAAGAGGTCCTACCACCAGTAATTACGCAAATTATAATTTTGCGGGTTTGATTTTCACTACACAATGTTATTCCTTTACCGTGGAAGTCAATGGTGAACATTTATTTAGTACGTATTTCATTAGAAAAATTGGTACCCGCCTGCGGGATTCGAACACTGTTGCATCGCTCAACACAAATGTACCGGACGTCTTTATCCTTTAGGCCACGACGACTTCACAAGTAAGCAACACTAAATACATTTCGTGAGCTATTATAACAACCAAAAGAATTGGAACAAACTAAGTATGTGACAAAGATTTCTGTTTTTTTCGATGACGACTGACCCAAGCATTCTTAGAAGATTACTTTAGAGGGCAAGGAAGCTTACTTCTGATTTGAAGTAATTTATAAGCTATATTTGAATCTAATATATTAATTGCTACAAATACTAAGAAACCATGTTAGTAAATTATTTTATTTTGGGGTTGTAGCTACAAGAATATAAGTACTAGTGTTTTTTTTTTCGTTTACAATAGCTGTAGCACTACTCTACAGAGAATTTATGATAGATCGGTGAAAATATGCAGCGTATTAGTACACAACTGAGCCAACTCAAAAAAAATTACTGGTGGTAGGACCTCTTGAGAGTCCGCGCGGGTAGGTACCACCACCCTGCTTATTTCTGCCGTGAAGCAGTAATGCGTTTCGGTTTGAAAGGTGGGGCAGCCGCTGTAACTATACTTGAGACCTTGGAACTTATATCCCAAGGTGGGTGGCGCATTTACGTTGTAGATGTCCATGGGCTCGAGTAACCACTTTACACCAGGTGGGCTGTGAGCTCGTCCACCCATCTAAGCAATAAAAAAAAAACCAAAACAATCAGAATAAACTAAGTATGTGACAAAGATTTCTGTTTTTTTCGATGACAACTGACCCAAGCATTCTTAGAAGCTTACTTTACAGGGCAAAAAAAGCTTACTTCTGATTTGAAGTAATTTATAAGCTATATTTGAATCTAATATATTAATTGCTACAAATACTAAGAAACCATGTTAGTAAATTATCTTATTTTGGGGTTGTAGCTAGTGTTTTTTTTTTGCTTTCAATAACTGTAGCACTACTCTACAGAGAATTTATGATGGATCGGTGAAAATAAGCAGTGTTATAACTGAGCAAACCCTAAAAAAAATATCTTATTAACAATAAGTATTTATTTAAGAGAAGAAACGATTTAATCCAGACAAAAGGCATTACAAATTAATATTGTGCAAATAGAAATCTCAGTTGATTCAAGACAAAGGAGCTGAAAGTATTCCGATTTTTTACTATTAAATGTCTTGTATAAATAAACATTGTATTACCAGGGACGTCTTAAATTAGGCTGGGGCCTTTGGGCACACAAGAATTTGAGGCCCTTTTGGAAAGTAAAAAGAAGCAAATTATAATAACATTTTTTTACTGAGTATGACCATTTATTAAAGGTAATCAAATACAGTATGATATAATATGTCATTAATGTTATTAGAATGCTGCTGGTTTATTGGTTACTTAGTAGATGGTGTACTTAGTAAATTAGGTAGGATGTGTTCGGAAATATTATTAATTAGTACAGTAGGAATAGGCGCAGTCATCGATATAATGGCGTAGTATATGCCTTATAAATAGGTACCTTCTGATAATATTACTGATTTGTGAAAAAAGTGTAATGTGTCAGACAAAAATGTTTTGAGAATAAATGTGAGAGAAATTGTCGGTCCTTAGGGGCCCCCTGAGAATGGGGGCCCTGGGCACGAGCTCCGTGTGCCCTTATGGTAGAGACGGTATTGTGTATTACTACTTTTTCTGCTTCTAGAAGTGTATCATGAAATACAAACGACATTATAATGAATACTAGGAACGACTTACTGTTTCGAAGCGGAGTAGTCTTTACGTAAACGCCGAAAAGCCGGACGAGGTTTTTTTTAAGAAATAATTCTTTGAACGCGTATTTTTGAAACTGGCAAAGCAGAGAGAGAGATGTGTAGTAGGTAATGATTTACTGCAGGATGAAACACTGCAGTGCTTTAAGATATGGCCCGGACGAGGTCCTTGCAGTCAGCAACGAAAATCGTTAATCGACACATGCGCTTTACAGAGGATGCGCGTTAAACCGCTCCACTGGCCTCCGTCAGAAACATCTAAACTATATAATTAAAACTAACTAAAACTATATAATTTTAGATATTATTCACTGCTTCAACTTTATCTAAAAGTTTATGAGACTTACCGTACGTAAAAGAACAAGAAACGATGAAGAAATCTCTGTTAACCGGTTACAATGGTTTGTTGACAAGGAATTGTCAAAAATTCAAATCTTTGAAGCTTCCAAGGTAAAATACCTAATAAAAAAAGTTCAATCAGTTTTATTGAGCCCTGGCTTCTACAGATTGGTATTCACTGCAAAAATAAATTTAAAGTACATAATATCATGATAATCTCACAAGAAAATAAATTTCCGTTTAGAAGTTATTATTTTAATTTGTTTTTATTTTTCCAGATCTGAGAAAAGAGACATCTCAAATAATCGAAGAAGCTTGTATGTATGGGCCATGTCCTCTTTGCCTTAACATGTAGGCGAACTGGGCTAAAAATCTAGATCAAATGATCACAATAGACCAACAAAATAGTCGCTGAAATACACAAGGAGGTTTTCATGCCGTGATTTTGTCTGAAATAAACATAGTTATTTGACGAAATCTGAAACACACCACTGACATTTACAAAATAAGCTTGTATAAAATGTATTTTCCGAACGATAGCATTTATTTCATCAATCTACACATAAATAATAAGAACACTAGCTAAACTGGGTACATAGGTACCTACCTATCTTCCCATAGCTGTATTTTGCCCAAAAGTTTTATGCGTTTAATTAATGTCAGGGCAATTAATTTCTTTTTTTTTTTCTTTCAACGATTAAGGGATTAGAAGAATCCTGCATTAATATTTATTTAAATTCTTTATGACTACGAATATGAATATAATTTATGAATATTATATTATTATAAATTGACATATTAGTAATCTTCAATAAATACTATATTTATTTTATATTTGCACACTTTTTATTCAAGTAAGAACATGCTGCGACAACTATGTACGTCAAACAGGGTCCAATTCATAAACAGCAGCTGTGCCGTGCCGTTTATTGGTATGATAAATTTCTAAGGCTATATCAGCGTAACCTTAACTAAAGGGTGAGCTCACGGGGCTCAAACCTGACGACGTTGCTAAGACGAACCCTAGCAAGAGCCGTGCTTCGCAGAATCTACCACCGGATCGTAAACGCGACCCATTGAGAAGATCCGGCGAGAAACTTAGTGGGCTGTGTCTGAGCGTTAATTTACTCGTCGAGCCCTTCGTCGCAAGCGACGGGTTCAACGAGAACGATGACCGGTGCTTGAGGTACCTAAAAGCACCGTTAGTGGATCGGGAGGATCCGAAATGACGTGTTTGTGGCGACGTCGACTGCTTTCCATTCTTTCCGCAGGATCGGGAATGTAGTTAACGGTGGCCACGATGAGAGGGTTCTCGTGTCGTGCCGCTTTATCGAAGTGGCAATAACTATGTTGTCATCTGAAGTATTAGATACCAATTTAATGCATTTATCGATATACCTAGGTACTCAACGCATCACTGATTAGAAATGACATCAGCTGTCAAAAACATAACCTAAAGTCCTTTAAATAAATTACTAACAAGCGATAAAACTGGATTAAACTCGTTAATAAACAACAAATTAAATATGAAGAATGGACGATAACTCGAAACACGCATCCTCATATCAATTAGACCAGGAAATACTCGACGGTGAGTACATAAATAAAACATCCAAAACCGTAATAAAACATCATTTGGAATTCAACAGGTACAAAATATTGTTATGACGCATTTTCATTTAATTTAATACGTGCACCGAGGAACGTATTAAAGACATATTTTAATATAAAAAACACGAATACTAATTCCACGCTCACGAGAGCGTACTCAAATTAACATTTACAAAACTTTTAAATACATTTTCTCAGAAAAGTTTTCTTAATGGGTAATTAAGTTTTCTTCGGAGTTTGAGAGCAAAGCACACACAATTAAGACAACCTGGAAGAATGAGTGTATGACAGCAAACATGAGACAAGCAATTCTATTCTATACTCTACATCATCTTTTCATAATTGTCTACAGGAAAATTTGGCATAGATTATTTCCCAACTAAATAAAATCATATCAAGTTTTACTTACAAATTATCTCTCTAATTAACTGTAGTTTTTACAACTTTGTTACTCAAGTGAAATTCTATTACTGTAATTTATTCTTATATTTAATATTAAGGAGCAGTCAAGTATTGCACTGTTGTTTGTGCCTATAAATAGGCAAAATTTATCACAAATTTCTCGTAGATTTATCAATGTTCTAAATTGGTGATTACTTTGTTGGGGATGATCAATGAATTAATTAAATAAATAGATTTGTCCTCATAAGGGTAACATGAAAGCAATACCAACCAGATTGGTGGTAGGTGAATATAGATATGACCCTGTCCTTCATTTCTACTGTGAAACAGTTTTCAGGGGAGTCTGATGCTGTGTTATAAAATGAGACTGCCTACTTTTCTCAATGTGATGGTTCAAATTTATAATTCATGCTAAATGTAGTAATGTCAGTGTTACACTTACTTAGAATGATATGAACTGAATTTCTGGTGCCGTACATCTGTTTGACAACAATCTTGGTCATTCTCTAAGCCTAATATGGTTGCTTTCAGCTAGAGGCATAGAAATGACAGTGGAAGAGGTGGTCGAATTACCGACTTGCAAGTACGCAGATCGCGTTCATTCACTGAAATTAAGTGAAGACGATTTAGCATTCCTTAAAGGATTAAGAAGAAGGATCAAGAATAGAGTGAGTATCAGTCATGAACTCAACCTTTTGCAATTTGTTTGGTTTGGTAGGAACTGGTCAGTTACTCATGCTGAGGATTGGTAGATCTAGTATACTGAAATAAAACCTCCTGCTACGTAGCAAACCTTATATCAGACAGTAATCAAACAAGGCTGACGTTGACAGACTGTCAGACTTAACATGCTAAATGTAAGATAAATAAGTAAAGTAGAGAGATAGAGTAATAAGTAGAAATGTAAGGAGTGCTAAATGTATGCTCTCAAAATGTGTCCTAGGGATACTCGGAGATGAGGTCAAAGTATTAATAGTGTCATATGATTATGTCTCCTCCAATCCTACTGCGTCTAGATTATGGGTTCTGGAAACCATTCAAGACAAGAACAGCTAAATTCAATAACCGAAATTCATATACCTTTCAAACAAAGATATCCCATGGTACAGTAGTGTAAATACAATGTACAGTAGTGTAGTGTACACTAGATTAATGCGGTGTTCAATTTCTTGACATAAAGTCCCAGATCGTTTTAGTTTTTTTTTTTGCTAAAGCATATGGCCAAATCTCATAGACAGTCAGGAGCGTATATGCTGCCACCACTTTGAGACACGACTTTGTAAGTCTTAGTTTTCAATCAAACGGCTGCCCCGTCTTTCAAACCGATACACCTTACTGCTTCACGGCAGAAATAGGCGGGGCAGTGGTACCTACCCGTGCGAGCTCACAAGACGTCCTACCACCAGTAAATTAGTCGTAATGCATTAATAAATCAACTCTTCTTGTTCTTCTTCATCGTTTCCTCACCGCTGAGGATCGTGACCACACGTGACTTTTCTCCATAGTGTTCGGCCATGGGTGGCTCGGACCGCATGGTATAGACTACCCCCAACCGCTTTCTTAACCAGATCTGGGTGGTAATTCTGACCCACAATTATGAACTTCTCTAATTCATGTCTGGGAGACCGCAATCACCTCTTAGAAAAGCCCCGGTCATTGTTCTCGTCGAACCCGTCGCTTGCGACGAAGGGCTCGGCGAGTAAATTGTCCCACAGGAACAGCCCACTGAGTTCCTCGCCGGATCTTCTGACAATCCGGTGGTAAATTCTCGGAAGCACGGCTCTTGTTAGGGCTAGTGTTAGCAACGTCGTCAGGTTTAAGGCCCGTGAGCTCGCCTTTTTGTAAATCTAGTATAGGGTTACTAGTCGAGGTTACTAAAATAGGTAGGAAGAAAAAAAAAGGGAAACATGTGGCTTAACCGGGCCGATTCATCAAACGCGCCTTTTTTCCTCTGCTTTCAAAGGCAATAAAAAAATTGTGACCATCATTAGAATAATGTCAATGCAGTCAATGTTTTGAAGTCGTCGTGGCCTAAAGGATAAGACTTCCAGTGCATTCGTGTGAGCGATATACCGATGTTCGAATCTCAGACCAATTTTTCTAATGAAATACACGTACTCAACAAATATACACGATCAGCTTCCACGGTGAAGGAATAACATCGTGTAATAAAAATCAAACCCGCAAAATTATAATTTGCGTAATTACTGGTGGTAGGACCTCTTGTGAGTCCGCGCGGGTAGGTACCACCATCCTGCCTATTTCTGCCGTGAAGCAGTAATGCGTTTCGGTTTGAAGGGTGGGGCAGCCGTTGTAGCTATACTTGAGACCTTGGAACGTATATCCCAAGGTGGGTGGCGCATTTACGTTGTAGACCTCTATGGGCTCCAGTAACCGCTTAACACCAGATGGGCTGTGAGCTCGTCCACCCATCTAAGCAATAAAAAAGTCATCGACAGTGAGAGTTGTAGTCCTGAACAGTCATTCTTGCTCGGTGGCGGTTTTGTGAAATATCTCATGGCTCAATCGGTGAGTACTGTGGGAATCGAGCTAAGAGTGTCATGTGACAGCGAACCGCAAACTTTGATATTGAATTACGAACATATTATTAAATACCGCATGTAGGTTTGATTATAAATTATTAGGCCCTTTGAGCGCGAGCCGTCGATAGATCGACTATATTAATTCGTATAAAGTGCAGAGCGTCGGAATATCGACTGTTGCGCAGTTTGATTATAGGTATTAAGTATCAATCTGTTAGGACGTATCTTAGTGCGCGCATGTGTAACGTTTTGTAATAAGTAAATAACATTTATAAATAACCATTTATTTTGCTAGGAATTTATAATGTTTTTCTTTTAAGTTAAAGAATTTTATAAAGTTTTTTTTTTATGTAATAAAAGCTCAGCACTAACAGAGTTACGATTTAATCTAGCGTTTTTTTCTTTTCCTTTCTTTGTTTTCATTATATTTATTTCGAATTGTAGAAAATTATATTATTCGAAAAAATATAATTCGCGTAATTACTGGCGATAAGACGTCTTGTAGGTCGGCACGGGTAGGTACCATCGCCCTGTCTATTTCTGCCGTGAAGCAGTAATGGTTTCGGTTTGAAGGGTGGGGCAGCCGTTGTAACTATACTGAGACCTTAAAACTCACATCTCAAGGTAGATGGTAACCATATAACACCAAGTCGGCCGTGTGACGTTAACCAATCTAAGCTACAAAAAAAAAATACAATTTAACAATCTAAGTTGTGAGTTCCACAGGCTCAGTGAGCTTAGTGCGAGTTTTTTAACGTTCTCGATAGCGTAAAAGTTAACTCAAATTTGTATGGAGTTGGAACAGCGCCCCTAGCGGCAAACGAAGAGAAGCTAAGCACACTGGTGACGACTTTCCCGTAGGTAGATCGGGAGGTCGTTCACACCCGTCATTTTTTTTATTTTTTTTTTATTGCTTAGATGGATGGACGAGCTCGCAGCCCACCTGATGTTAAGTGATTACTGGAGCCCATAGACATCTGCAACGTAAATGCGCCACCCACCTTGAGATATAAGTTCTAAGGTCTCAGTATAGTTACAACGGCTGCCCCACCCTTCAAATAAAATCAAATCAAATAAAAAAAAAAAAATTAAACATAAATGAAAGTACATACTTGTTGAACGTCAAAAGAACTACCGCCAATTCACAAGAACTAGCTTCCGTCCTGAGAAGAATTGGCAAGAAACTCAGCGGGCATGTCCTTTTTTTTTTATTTTTTTTTTTTTTTTCATTCAAACCGAAACACATTACTGCTTTACGGCGGAAATAGGCGGGGTGGTGGTACCTCCCGTGCGGACTCACAAGAGATCCTACCACCAGTAAGTGTATAAGTAAGTCTACGAATTAAAACGAATTGCAGTTAGCATCACAGAACAGTCGACGTCGAAGCGTTGAAAATTTAAGGCGTTTGACGCGCGAGCTCAGGGCGGTGCGCGCTTGTAGACGAGACGCTTTATCCGAAAGGCGGAGTCTGGTCGCGCAGCGGGACTCGATCAGGGAGCAGTGCGTGGCTCTCCGGGCGTACTTAGTGCAGGTACGTTAAGAAGTTCTAGGATTTTAACGACGGAGGGAAGATCTTCCATCGAGCGGGGTTTTACTGGTGGTAGGACCTCTTGAGAGTCCGCGCGGGTAGGTACCACCGCCCTGCCCATTTTCGGCCGTGAAGCAGTAATGCGTTTCGGTTTGAACGGTGGGGCAGCCGTTGTAACTATACTGAGACCTAAGAACTTATATCTCAAGGTGGGCGGCGCATTTAGGTCGTAGATGTCTATGGGCTCCAGTAACCACTAAACACCAGGTGGGCTGTGAGCTCGTCCACCCATCTAAGCCAAAAAAAAAAGTTGCTCAATAGACTGGCGGTCCTAATGTTGTTGTTCGGAACTTGTATATATGCGAGCTTGTCTTGAAAACGTCGTGAGCGAGATTCAGGCATCTGTCAAATATCTTGTGTTCTCTGATGGCTACCGCCACAGAGTCTTTGGGGAGGCTTTACATAAATCTCTTCAAGAACTTCCATGGAAGATGTGGAGGTAAGACCTGTTGGAAGCACACTGGGTAACTAATATTCGAGTGTGACAAAGAGTTCGACATGCAACCTAACTCATAGATACTACCACCACCCACTGAGCTCCTCGCCGGATCTTCTCAGTGAGTCGAGATTCTGATCCAGTGGTAGATTGAGCGAATCAATGCTCTTGCAAGGGCCAGTATTAGCGATTCGTCTCAGGGTGACCTAGAAGGTGAAGCTAAAAGAGCCCCTCGGGGCCACTGGTAATTGGGTAGCCAAAAAAAGTAACTGATAAAATGCAACGATCAACTCAATACTACTTACTGGTGGTATGACCTCTTGTGAGTCCGCACGGGTAGGTACCACCGCCCTGCCTATTTCTGCCGTGAAGCAGTAATGCGTTTCGGTTTGAAGGGTGGAGCAGCCGTTGTAACTGTACTGAGACCTTAGAATTTATATCTCAAGGTGGGTGGCGCATTTACGTTGTAGATGTCTATGGGCTCCAGTAATCTCTTTTTTAATGGTTTCACCGATTTCGCGTAGTAAATGATTGTTCATATATCCTTCGCAGGCATTAAGCGAGCGTTCGGACAGCTCCGCGATTCCGTCGATACAGAATCCGGCCCAGAATCCGCACGAATCTCCCGCGAAATCTCGTTCCTCGTCTCCGCGCACCGAATATTCTAGCGACCGCAGCAACCTCGCGAAGGACGACGTTTTCGAGCTGCGACTAGACCGGCTGGTGGACCGCAGCGTCGATCGCCTGTTCAGGTGCGATGACGTCAAAAAGATCTGCGCCCAGACGTTCTACATTAACGAAAGCAAATACGAGGGCGTGCTCAATTTGTCGGTGAAAGACGGCCGCCGGGGCCACGGTCGGAAGCAGACTGCGCCCAGACGGATCGTTTACTGCGATAGTGAGGGTAGGTTAACTTTTTTCTATATTTTTATACTATAATATTATAAAGATGAAAGATTTGTTTGTTTGTTTGTATTGAATAGGCTCCGAAACTACTGAACCGATTTGAAAAATTCTTTCACTGTTTGGAAGCTACACTATTTCCGAGTGACATAGGCTATATAATATCTTTTTTGAAAAATATTAGGGATCCTTACTAAAACCCCAATAATGTAACCCAAGGTGTAAAAAAATTACCTAAAATATTCTTTACATCGCGTGCCCTGCGAAAACTATTGATGGTAGAATAAAATAATGTACTACGACTTTGTAGAACACATTACTATTTACAAAAAGTGTCGCGACAGCATACGTCTAACTATTATAGTTCTGCCGCAAAAAGTGTTATTTTATTTAAAAATATAAAACAACGTCAAATGTCGTTGAAATTGTTTGTTAAAGTCCCGAGCGAAGCCGTAGCGGGCCGCTAGTTTTTTTAAAATATAAAAGGGGTTAAAGGCTATATTTGGTTTGAGCAATACTTCGGTTAACACGCGGCATTTATCTTTGCAATTAAAGGTCCGTTTTATTCGATTCAGTATCAACAGTTCGATGTTTTTAAACAGCTGAAGAAGTGTTTTTTGTAAAGTTGCAAAAATGTGGCTTAAACCAAATAATCTTTTAGCCCCTCGATATCAATCTGTTGCTTCATTCTGACGCGATAGAAGGACAAACAGACACACTTTCACATTTATAATAAATAATATAGGATGTACACGATTAATAATTTTATGATCTTCCATTTCCAGATAACGTTTTGGATTTGAAAATCAAAACGGAGAAGCCCTGAGGAAAAGTCTTATGTGATTATAATTACACGATTTCGAACGATAATCACAATTTAGTATTTAAATACGTGGTATGAGATCAAAGTTTATACGTATCTCTCTCTGCCTAGGGAACAAACAGTGTTTTTAGGGTTCTAATGTACGACCAATACGAGTGAAGGTGATTCGAAATTGCCGCCAAACGCAAAGCGTATTTGACGTCTGACGTTGACGTACGTGTCATATTTGACAGCTGTCAGTTTGATTAAAACGTGCAAAAGTTAGTTTAAGGCACAGGTGTAAATAGTCGTTTATTCTTTAATAAAGCTGAACACGAATACTTTCTGTCGTCCTGGTAAGAAGCGTCCGTCGCTTAAAAGAAGACGTCGAGTGTACTGAGCTTTTATAGTTAAATAGGAGTGATGTGAACGATAAAAGCGGGTGTGATAAAAACGTTACTAGCATAAGTGCGCGCGATCTAAGTGCAACCGTTCGTCTATTTTTGCCGTGAAGCAGCCTCGCGTTGTACGCTGCGAATGAAACCGAGGCCTTTGTGACGTCACGCTCGTGACGTAATGTAATCCAGTAGACGGCTTCGGAAATAAAGCCGTCTTTTTGGTCCGGCGATTCAGCTAGTTTCTGGGTTATCGAAGTCTATAATTCCTCACTGATCAAGGTTTTTAAAAAAAAATCATTAACGCCCACATCTAAGTTTCCAGGGGAACGACTCTAATTAGTACTAACGTCTGCTGAGACAGTGTTGCCACATTAAATCCAACAATACTTTTGGTCTTCCACTTATATCATGTAGACATATAAATAATCCTCTTCCACTTTTAATTGAACCGTCTAAATTCCTCACTTAAAACTTGAGCGAAATTTTATCAATAAAATATTCGTACTTAAATTATCGTCGGGTTTATCTGGATACGGTGTGCTTAGTGTGAGATTTTTGCCGCTAGGGGCGCTGTTCCAACTCCATACAAATTTGAGTTAACTTTGACGCTATCGAAAACGTTAACAAACTCGCACTAAGCACACATATCTTCAATCTATTGAAAATCACAGTGTAAATACCGCCTTGAGATATAAGGTCGTATTCTTAGAACGACTGTATCAACGCATAACCGCCTAACTCGCTTAGGTAGGATCAGTACCCGTCGCAATACCAGTCACTTGAGCCGGTTCTATGCCCCGTGTTCATAGATCCCTGTTTCAAAACAAACAAAAAAAAACATTTGATAACTTTGACAGTAATTTTGGCGGTCAAATATTGAACAAAATGGCGTACGTTAAAGCCTTCTTAATAGTATGGAGGGTCTAAGTAAGGACCGTCTTGTATAGGTGACAAGTTGATAATCTGTCCGCCAGTAAACAGCTAGTTGTTATTGGAAGACTCACCGAAATAGCGCTAGTGTAGGAAGTGGAAATGATGTGAATATAGCAGTTTTAAACAGAGCGATGTTGAAAATTTTAATATTTTTCGTGACTTGTGTAGTTCAAAAATATTCGGAGTAAATTTAATTTTTTTTATTGCTTAGATGGGTGGACGAGCTCACAGCCCACCTCGTGCTAAGTGCTTACTGGCACCCATAGACATCCACAACGTAAATGCGCCACCCACCTTGAGATATAAATTCTAAGGTCTCAAGTATAGTTACAACGGCTGCGCCACCCTTCAAACCAAAACGCGTTACTGCTTCGCGGCAGAAATAGGCAGGTCGGTGATACCTACTGGAGCGGATTCACAAGTCGCCCCCCCCCACCAGTAAAAACCGTTTTTGCTTAGACGTTTATCATGTCTTCGCGTATTATGTCCATATCACGACAATCTTCCACTTTTTATATGCGGAACATATGATAATTGCTGTATAAATTAAAAAGGGGAGTCATTAGAAAGAAACATCCGCCCTTATTTCATATTTAGGAATTTTGCTACAGTAAGTTTTTTACTGGTGGTAGGACCTCTTGTTTACTGGTGGTAGGACCTCTTGTGAGTCCGCACGGGTAGGTACCACCGCCCCGCCTATTTCTGCCGTGAAGCAGTAATGCGTTTCGGTTTGAAGTGTGGGGCAGCCGTTGTGACTATACTGAGACCTTAGAACTATATCTCAAGGTGTGTGGCGCATTTACGTTGTAGATGTCTATGGGCTCCAGTAACCACTTAACACCAGGTGGGCTGTGAGCTCGTCCACACATCTAAGCAATAAAAAAAAAAAAAGTAACGCCATCTTTAATTCGCAGAGCGAGAGCGATATTTCAATTCTACCCTCCTTAAAGTCGACCAAAATTCAAACAAACCTACAAACATTATGTATACTGACAGATTGAAGCCATATAAAAAAAAAAGTTATATATATCGACGCTTGAAAGGCAAACGTGACTAAGCGACAATGCGTGAACTTTACAGTAGACTAAAGTTGAAATACCTGAAAACAAAATATATATTTTAACGAATCTAGCTGTAGGATTGAAATGATTTTAATAGACCTAGAAATATATATTTTTTGCGCATCGAATATGGTTATTGCCTATACTAAATAATTTATGTAAAAAGCAGTTATTGTCGCTTAGTCACGTTTGCCTTTCAAGCGTCGATATGTAATTATGTATTTTTTTGTGTATATTTTTTAAGACCAAATAAATATTAATGCTTTAAGTAAATAACCAATTTACGTAGGTACGTGTTTTTATATTGTTGTATGTACGAGTATAAATATTTTATTAAAAACGGTGTTTTTTTTAAGAAAATTATTAAAGATTTAAAATATTCGTCTTTTTGTTTCATTTCATTATCGCCGACTCATTATTGTGTAATGAATACGTAATTCTGTACAGATTAAAATATACCAGACGATGAGCGATTTTTTTTATGAATTGTGTTTTTTAGAAATAATATTATTTAAATACGAATTACATATTGATAAAATGATGAAATATTCCAAGATCCTTTAGGCATCTTTAAGTGACCCCGTGAGTTAAAAAAACACAAGACTATTTAGTAATATAAATAAGCAATTCATTATCTTGGTCTAACCTTCTTCTTCTGTTTGATTTTGGCTCGCGCGGCTTGCGCATTTGCCACAAAGCAAAATAAAAGCTTGGGAACTACGTAATAAATAAATAAATTAATTTTTTTTTTTTGAACGGATTCGCAAGGGAGAGATTAGGAAAGTTAGAGAATATATGAAGATACATATATAAATAAGATTAAATTAAATATGTACATCATTAGATAATATAAATAAAGACAATAAACTGTATACATTAGGAGAATTCATAGATAAAAGACACATAATGGAAGTAGGAAAAGGAATACGTAATGAAATCAACTTTAAATAGAAAGAAGAGCAATCATTTAGAGAGCAAGAAAAGAAAATGTGATTAACGTCACAGACTTCAGCACCGCAATCACAGGCTGGACTATCAACAATTTTGAATTTAAAAAGATGGGCTGGAGTGGAAACATGTCCCAATCGCATGCGAATGAGACATGTTGTTACACGTTTAGCGAAATGAATTTTGAAAAACCACGGCTTTGAAGGTATTGTGGGTTGAATAGTACTATAAGATTTCCCTTTTCTTGGCCTAACCTTAAACCAAAACACTCATTCGCTTCAGGTGACTTAACAACGCCATCGGCTGAAATAGCTTTAGTGTTATTGTGTCTTGCTCTGAATTGTGAAAAATAGTATTATTATTCGCCAATAGATGTCAGGACGAGTCATAAGTTGATTATCGATAAAGTTGATTATTGAAAACACGAATAAAATAACATTTTCTGAAAATAAATCGTAGCTAGATCGATTTATCGCCCCCGAAATCCCCTGTATACTAAATTTTATGAAAATCGTTGGAGCCATTTCCGAGATTCAGATTATATATATACAAGAATTGCTCGTTTAAAGGTATAAGATATCGACCAGTGAAAGGCTATTTGGCTTAGGTGACATTTCGCTTAACACGCGACATTTATCTTTGTAATTAAAGGTCTGTTTTATTTGGTATCAGCAGCAACAGTCGGATCTTTTTAATTGAACTTCAATTAAGTTTACTCCATTCGAATAGCTGAAGAAGTGTTTTTGTTATGATATTTTCTCCAAAATTTAAATCTTAAGTGGATATCCTTTAAAGTTGCAAAAATTTGGCTTTAACCAAACAGTCTTTCACCGCTCGATATATAAGAATAAAGTTAGTCTAATTTGTGATCTTTTTAACCGTGAGCCCTCTACCCCACTTTGTTTCTTTCTTTGGTGTCTGTCAGAGTTATTGACAACCAAAAAAAATATCGCGAGGCTGTCTACGAAAAAAAAATACATGTGAGCAATTCACACGTGGTAGAAGTGAAACCTTCCAAAATTAAAATACAATTATCCTAAACGTCTTAAGTATATGTAAAATTTTGTCATTAGTAAATAATTGTAAGGTAGCGCCCTCTGTGAATTGATATTTTAATTTCACGTATAATCCTAAATTAAAATTCACTACAAGAGCTTTCATACACACGTTAGTATTAAAAAATCTCACAGATGGCGCTGTATTAAATAGTATGTATATTTCTGTCTCATTCTTTGCTGGCTTCATCCTACACATTTTTGTATTTGTGTCTCTTACCTGTCGTTTTTTCCGTTGCATCCGGTTTGAAATCACAACGATTCTAAAGAAGTTTTCACTTCAAAAAGTTTAGTAACAAAAATAACCAATAATGCCAATCACTGTACGTGGTATTCTATGTTTGCTCCATATGCAACGCGACTTTTCTTCATAGCCGCAATTCATTGTAGGTCTAATTTTTTTGTAGTAGTCTCGTAATAAGCACTACACGAATTTCGCTAATTCTGTCTCTTTCAGTAAGCAGAACGCATAGTACGCTGTTTTTTCATTCAATGCAATGCTTCACACAATGAAGTCTAGTCTTAGGGACCATAAAAAATGTAGTAAATTCACATAATTTCGAATTAAAAAACTACTTCTATTCGACAATAGATGGCATACAATTTTTCTAATGGCAATTTTTTTCACGCTCACGTCTCCCTCTGGCGTAGTATAATGTAAACTCCCCTTTTGTCTCGTTCTCTGATCCAATATGGCAAACGATGTATGAAAGGTGCAGAATGTTTTGATTTAAGACGACCGATTGAGAAAAATTGTAACAAAAAAAATACTGAACCGTATGATATTACGAAATAAAAAGCGCGTTATGGCCGGTCTATTAACGAGGTGATGCACAAAGGGTGGTCCTTATATCGATCTCAACAGAATGTGTTCGTAATAACAAATCTTATATGTTGTGTGTGTGTAACGAGTGTATCTTTTGCTAATGTGGTCGTTCGCAGTGATATGTGACAATAGTTTACGTGATAGATATGTCTGCCGATCCTGATAAAGACACCGCATGTGCTCCGTTCTCACTGATCCCGACCGAGAAGGCTCAAAATGTATGCGACAATGAGATTAGTGAAAAAAATAACAAAAAAATACGTACAGTGTCATTTCCCGCCGACGATCAGCTAGTCACACAATACTGCGAGCCAGAAAACCCTTGGAAACATGGTAAGTCCCTTCCGTCATTACAGAAAGACGTAAAAAGTATAATAAACAACCTCTCGCGAAAAAATAGAAACGTCAATATTAAAGCAATTTTATTATATATTTTGAGGATGAGGAGGCTAACTTACATCACTGTTTCAACAATAAATAGCAAAATATATGAACTCATTCATTTTACATCTATTCCAACAAGAAATTAGTGTATGTGACCTAATCCATTACTCATTCTTATAATAAACATCACAATGCTCTTTATCCTATAGTTCGTAGTTTGCAATTATAATTCCGTTTAATGATTAATTAGTTTTATCTTATTTAATAGTATGTCATCAGAATAGCATATAGAAGCATATAGTTCTAGAAAGAGTCCTCAAGCCATCAACCCTTACCAACAAGCAGGCTGTAGAGACTGTTTGAATTGAGTTCAATGTCAAACTAGATTATATAGAAACACCAGTCGCCTCTTATCAAACTATCAAACTATGGCCTTCCTTGAAAATTATTCTCTGTTCTATCTAAAAACACTTCTAATATCCCTAATAAAGATATCACATTGTAAAATAATTTCTAAATCCCTAAAATGTATTTATGAGGCCCTACAGATAGGTTCGAAGTCCTTGAAACTTATTTCTTCAGCAAGCAGACCTGATGAGTCACTGATTTTTTATTTAAAAGTGGCTAATCACTTTCAGCTTGTGACATGAATTTGGTAACCATTTACCTTAAAAAGGCCATTAGATGTTGGCTTTGCCCCTGGGATTGTGTGAGCTAGACCAACTTGTCAGCCGATAATGGCCATAAATAAAAAACAATCTCTTTTAAATGTTTCCTTTACTATGATGGCCCAAGAAGTCTTCTATACATATCACACCAAGAACAGCTGTAGTATTTGAACTGAATTGAATAAACAAAAAGGAATGAATTTGTGTCTTTGACCTGACTACCTGGGGTGGTTGGTGGCAGACACTTTACTATGTCTATGGGTTCCGGCAACTACTCGGTACTGGGTAGACCGTGAGATAAAAAATTGAAACCTTATTGACCTTAGAAAAAATTAAGCCAATGTCTGTTACTATGTCTAGGTGGGTTTTGTTTGATGGGTATCCAAAAGTATTCTATTTGTAATATTGCATCTAAGTGCCCTAGTAGTTTCCAAGTATAATGCCTTCAAAAAAAAAGTCAGTTTTTTTCATGTTTATTTTAGCTAGTGGTCTCCCAATAGTCGAAAAATTTAAATTATAAGTTTGAACATTATTAAGGTTCTGTTGTTAAAGACTATAATACTTCTATAATCACAGATTTCGACAAGACTATACTATAGGTAAATAATATTAAAGACAAACAATATTAATTTATTCCCAATTTGGCCACCGACTTTAAACAATAACAAAAGTTTGACAATAAACAAAAGAGTATATATGCGTGTGTGTGTGTGTTAAATACATGGTAGTATGTGTAATGTTTTATTTATTTATTTATTTACTTAATGTATGTTTTATGCGTAAAAAATATTAACATTCTGCATTCCTTCTCTTTTATCTCTATAAGTGAGAAATTTTAAACTTCACTGTCTGTACAATTTTCATAAAAAAGTGGTCAAAATTTTTGCTTCACATATTAATATATAGATATCAGCTTTTACCTGCAGCTTCTCCCGCTTGGTCAAGGAAAAGTGTCAGTGTGATTTCTCATGAGAGTGAGAGGTTTTTTCGAAATAAAAAGTAGTCAATATCTTCATTATCCTGATCTAAAACTATCACTTTACAAAGATCTTCCATTGATTTATATATATCGTTTTTTTGTTGTAATAATTGGAACGAAGTTCCTTATCGCGCGTTGTGAAAGGGGGCTAGACGGAAAAAATTCTTACGAAAAGTTGTCACGACACTTTTTATTTTTAGAGATACTACTGCCATCTATCAATTTTTATGGGAACAACTTAGACTGTTGAAAATATGGAATGAGTGCAACAGTTACTAACGCATCTAACATCTGTATTATATTATAATATGAATGTCACACAATAATAATAGAGAAGTAATGAAATGTTTAGCAATTATAAAATTTGGTGAGCCACAAAAAAACAGCATTGAAATCATTTGGTCGGCGTACAAAGATTTTGTTTGCAATTAAATAAATCAGGCAGCAATCCTTGTTGGAACAAACAGCAGAAGATTTTTATTATTTATGTATAATCTTAGTATAATTAATGGCTATAGTGTCTAATGTATAGTTTACATGCTGACGGTCATTATTATTATTCACATAAATAACTGTTTTTTTGTATATGAAATGTCCTTCTTCAAACGAGGCTTGTGGAGAGTATTAAGCGGTAGGCAGCGGCTTGGTTCTGCCCCTGGCATTGCTGAAGTCCATGAGCAACGGTAACCACTCACCATCAGGTGGGCCGTATGCTCGTCTGCCTACAAGGGCAATAAAAAAAAAAAAAAAAAATATTATTTATATTTATTTTTGATAAATCATTGTGAATAAAATGAAGTTGATAATGTAGTTTTTTTATTGTTATCAATAAAAAATGTATACCCGAATAATTATTTTCTTTATACCTCGAATATAACTTAAAATTAATATTTTTATAATAAGGAAATTCGTTCCTGTCCGGTGTCCCATGACACCACAAATCTTTTTTATTTGAATGCTGGTTCTACTAGAAGATTAAAATGACAACACACAATGGAATTATCCAATATTAAAAATCTTAGTAAGTTGAGTGAACTGTGAACTCCAAATATTTTTTTTTAATTTTTTTTTATTGCTTAGATGGATGGACGAGCTCACAGTCCACTTGGTGTTAAGTGGTTATAGACATATACAACGTAAACGCCCCACCCACCTTGAGATATAAGTTCTAAGGTCTCAGTATAGTTACAACGGCTACCCCACCCTCCAAACCGAAACGCATTACTGCTTCAAGGCAGAAATAGGCAGGGTAGTGGTACCTATCCGTGCAGACTCACAAGAGGTCCTATCACCGGTAACAGTAAATGACCTTGGTACTAATTGATATTAATTACAAATAGGACATAATAAACATGAGTACTATCATGTGAATTTTGTCACAGGTGTCAATGAGTTATAAGCATTCTTGCTTATAACTCATTAAAACATCAAGTTTTAAGAGTTTAATTCTTTAAACTCTTAAAACTTGATGTTGCCAATTTTAAAATGTTATGTTTTACCTAAAAAAAAAGAATACATGTCAAGGGGTAAAAGGATTTTAAGTGGCATTTATCTTTGTAATTAAAGGTGCGTTTTATTTGGTATTAAGTAGCATCAACAGTTTGATGTTTTTCATTGAACATCAATTAAGTATACTCCATTCGAATGGCTGAAGATGTTTTATGTTATGATATTTTTTTCCATATTTTAAACTATAAATGGCTCCCAGTAAAGTTGCATAAATGTCCCTCAAACCAAATAGCCTTGTACCCTTCAATATGTTACACATAGAAAATTAAATATGCTTACATAGGGCAAGGCTATTAAGTACCATTTTTTTACTGTGTAGTGGCCTTTTTTTGCATTAGTGTCACTAACTAAAAAAAAAAAACTGAGAGCCACGTTTATATCAACCTACCAGTAATAAAATAAAAAGAGTATTTAATACATAAATATAAACCATGAGAAGCAAGTGATTATGGTTGAATTTAGATATATCGGGTGAACAGAAATAAAATTGAGTTTATATATAATTATGAAACAAACCTAAGAATGACAAGGGAACTAAGGTTTAGATAGGGATGATCGATTATCATCGATGTTCGATGTTAATCGATATTAAAATATAAAACATCGATGTCACGGACACATATCTAAATTCTGCTGTCTGGTTCAATCCTATATCAATAGCGCAATAGGTTGAATGGCTCCGCGCTTTCAAAGTTAATATTTTTAGTCAATTGACAAAAAGTATTGTGTATCTATGCCCTGATATCTTAAATTTATTTTTCATTTTGTTGAATTATAAAAAAACGTTGTGATTTTATAGTTGTTTTATTAAATGATCAATGTTTGCAAAAAACATCGATGTTGGCTGACATCGATATTTTGTGCTTAATGAGCATTGAGAATCGATGTTCTGCTATCGATGTCACTATCGATGCCATCATTGATGTTTAAATTTTCTAACATCGAACATCCCTAGGTTAAGATAAATAAATTGTGAAAATTAAATAATATAGTATTACTGGTGGTAGGATGTCTTGTGAGTCCGCGCGGGTAGGTACCACCGCGGATTCTAATTCGGGTAGGTAACTATACTGAGACCTTAGAACTCAAATTTCAAGGTGGGTAACGGCATTTACATTGCAGATGTCTAATGGCCCCGGTAACCACTTAACACCGGGTGGGCTGTGAGCTCGTCCACCCATGTATGTAATTAAAAAAAAGGTACCGCTCGGACAGACCGGCGGTATCCACTAGGCCTATATCACACAGAATGATACAGAATCACCGCATTACATAAACAATGTTATCAGACAGAGAGATGTTCTTATCAGTTAGCGAAAGGCGACGTATTCAAACAGAATTGTGGATAGTGATGACGATGCAATAATTGTTATTAATTAATACATGAAGCAAAAACTTTGTATCCTTTTTTACGAAAATTGCGCGGACGGAGGAGTATGAAATTTTCCACACTTATAGAGAATATAGAGAGAAGAAGTGCACAATGCTAATATTTTTTTTAAAAATAATGCATAAAAGATACATTATTAAATAAATAAAGAAAACATTACACACACTACATACCATGTATTTGACGCACACACGCATGCATACTATTTATTGTCAAATTTTGTTCTTGACGTCTGTTGTCAAATTGAGATTAAATATTGTTTGTCTTTGTTAATGTTTTTTATAGTGTAGTCTTGGCGAAATTTGTGATTATGGAAGTATAATATAAAATCATAATAGTGTACAAACTTACAATTCCAATTAATTATAGTCGAATTTCGACTACTGCGGGACCACTAGTTGTT